TGTAACTCGGGGTCAGCCTTGGAGGTGTGTGTGGCTTGGCTGTGGCGAAGGCGGCCCCTCTGTTGTAGTTGTTGTTAGTGACCACAGTGCCCAAGGAGGGGCCCTCCGATTTTGGCCTAGTGGATCTTTGACACCCTCACTCCAACTGCCACTACTTTTGGGGGGATCGTCTGAGCTGACGAAGCTCGAGTCACGGTTTTTGGAGTGACATGAACGCGTGCACCTGATGGAAACCTCCATCCCTGCATATGGAGGAGGGTTTCGATGGGAGGTTTTGGGAGAAGATCAACTACAGCGCTTTACTCATCGCGATTTATGGACTCATAATGGTCTTGATATTCGAGACATTGTCTTGTTTGAAACGCCATGTCTCGGTGACGTCGATATTTGGTTCAGGGTAGCTTGCACGAATATGTAGCATGTCATGCAGATACCATGAAGTTGTGTAACCACTGGTCCTGTCCTTTTTGATCCAGTAAAATTGAGAGACGGAACTGTATATACTTATAGCTTTCGTGTACTCCGTAAATTATAGCCTTTTCACTTTGATGATCGGTCTTGCATCAAACATGTTACCAGAAGAATGCTTGTCAAATGGAACATGTTCCGAAATCGAGACTACGATGGACGTAGTCAACACCAGGGAGGTTAGGGTAAGAGGTCGTAACCATAAATTCTTAATGAAGATGTTCACAGTGAATTAATGTCACTTTTTGAGATAGGCTGGGCAACATGCTTCGAATGCGACATTGGCCTCAAATCAGGGTCTTGCTGCTCAGCTCCAGGGTGCATGCATCTATAAGCAAGGCGTGCTATACCTTGGAGCCGTGGGCACTTAAAACACCGACTTGAAATACATACAAGGTATCTGACTTTCGTGTTGCTTTCGCCTAAGCGTTAACTTAATTCACTGAGACTTATACTGTTATTTACAATTTTAGCTAAATCTCATCATGAATAGATCAAGAGCTTGGTCGATCATGGGATAATTGAAACCATAGATGTTCCGAGATCCGTTAGTCCTTATCTCAAACAGGCAGGAACCAGCTTATCTACTGGATAACAGTTGATAAACAGACAATTTGTTGAGCAGCTCGGTCGTCCGACGCCTAGAATGAGCTACAAGTGCTGCTTAATGGCGTTATCTGAGCCGGAGAGATAACAAATCGCTGCCGAACTTGAGAGTGGAGAGCTCTCCGAGAGCTATGTACCAGATGCAGACGCGCTACGCATGCGTATGTACCTCACCCGAGCTTGGACCTCAAGGTGCCTGGCGTGCATTGACAGAGAGCAAAGCACCGGCCAATGTTAAGCCCGGATGTTCTGGGTGCCTGGTGAGATGATCAATGAATACCATGAAATAGCTTATCAATTTCGCATAGTGAATCATGACGTCGGCTCTGCCGTGTTGACTTTCCAAGGAATCGAATCTCCCCAAGACAAAAGGTCACTTTCAACCCTGGGAACGGACTGGGATGGTGAGGCGCTGCTGGCGTTGGCTTGGAGCGAACAGCGCTTGAGAGTCGAATTGAGACATGGGCATGCTACACTCAGACACTGGGCACGTGCCAGGGACGTCGTCTGACTCGATGGATCAGGCGGATTAGGTCAGTGGGGGCCAATCGGAGCCAAGGCGCTCCCCGCATTCTACGTTTTAGCACTGGGTAGAGAGACGCATGTTTTTGGCTGCAAACACCGCAAACTGGAAGGTACCTGACTTGTTGAAGCTCACCCTGTCTGGGTGGATCTTGGTTTTGGCGCGAGCAGGATACTTTGATCTGCCTGAGGAGGCACAGTGTGAAGAAGCTTGCGTATCCATGATGAACTGTATCTGTTTATGGCTGAGTAACTGTAATGGATCATCAGCCTTGAGGAGCGAATACTCCGTTGAGATGAGGATACGCCGGGAATATGATGGAAGGGTCACATTATTACTTATGAAGTTTGCTCAAGAGTTTGAATCGCCAACGAATAAACTTGCATGAGAAGTAAATCTTGCTCTCAACTTTCAGTACAGTGAAGTCGTGTTCGCTCCCGCTACCGAGAGCCTATCCATGAACCATGACTCGAAACGAGGCGGACAAACACGACCGGGTTGTCAACCTTCGTCAACATGAGGCAATCACTCGCCATCAGTTGACTCTCAAACGATCAGAAGCGGTGAATAGGTACTCGCATAATTACTGTATCTCCTTGACACTCAGTAAAAACACCCATAACAGGGTCCTCATCTTCATCATGACCATTCCTCGGGTCAAGACGGCTGAATTGTAGCCCGCCTCGGCCTTCTGGACTCAGTGCATGGCCAAACTCTCACACTGTCCGTCATGAGAGCTAAGAGGTACCTGGCTCAAACAGGTGCCGTTATCGCATTGCCTCGGTGACGGCCATTGGTCCTCTAGCACATGCGCTAAACCATATTCGGTCCTCAGCCACTGTGTTATCGCCGTCCTAGAGATGGATGCGTCACACCCTCCTGCCGGGTCCCCCAGGCCCGCTGAGGCAACACTGGAGCTGTCGCACGCTGCTCGTGCTTTGCTTATCTACCCCAGGTGCTGCCGCCATCGCTTCTTCTTCCTTTCATCATCTCATCCATATCCATCATCTCTCTCCCCATCCTTTGAAGTATCGATCTCGTCTGATTCCATCTATTCAGACGGTCGAGGACATCAATTTGTCCATTTGTTTTCTGTCTTTGAGTCGCAGGTAGACCAAACACAAGCTTCGTTGCTTCAGCTTCGTCATTGCGCCTTTCGTCACCATGAAGTCCGCTCTTACTCTCTCTATGGCGGCTGTCGCCAGCGCTGCCTCCTTCAGCGTCGGCACCGTCCACGACAGGGCCGCTCCCATCCTCAGCTCCATCGATGCCGAGACCATCCCAGACTCGTACATCATCAAGTTCAAGGACCATGTTGATCATGCCGCTGCCAGCGACCATCACATGTGGGTTCAGGACACACACAAGCAGGGCGAGACTGAGCGCCTCGAGCTGCGAAAGCGCTCCATCCCTTTCACAGACAAGACCTTCTCTGGCTTGAAGCACACCTTTGACATCGGTGGTGCCTTCAAGGGCTATGCCGGCCACTTTGACGAGTCCATGATCGAGAAGGTCCGAAACCACCCTGACGTAAGTACCACCGATTATGCCTCATGATCATCAGCAGCTAACAATAACCAGGTCGAGTTCATTGAGCGAGACACTCTTGTCCACACCATGGTCCCTGTTTCCCAGAACATGGTCACTGAGGACAAGTGCGACGGCGAGACCGAGCGACAGGCTCCTTGGGGTCTTGCCCGTATCTCCCACCGCAACACCCTCAACCTCGGTACCTTCAACAAGTACCTCTACTCCAGCGATGGTGGTGAGGGTGTCGATGCCTACATTGTTGACACTGGTACCAACGTTGAGCACGTCGACTTCGAGGGCCGTGCCCACTGGGGTGCCACCATTCCCTCTGGCGATGCCGATGAGGACGGCAACGGTCACGGTACTCACTGCTCCGGCACTGTCGCCGGTAAGAAGTACGGTGTTGCCAAGAAGGCCAACGTCTATGCCGTCAAGGTCCTCCGATCTAACGGCTCCGGATCCATGTCCGACGTTGTCAAGGGTGTCGAGTTCGCTGCCACCAGCCATCTCGAGCAGAAGAAGAAGGCCAAGGACGGCAAGCGCAAGGGCTTCAAGGGCTCCGTCGCCAACATGTCTCTTGGTGGTGGTAAGACCCAGGCTCTTGATGCTGCCGTCAACGCCGCTGTCCGCACTGGTGTTCACTTTGCTGTCGCCGCTGGCAACGACAACGCTGACGCCTGCAACTACTCTCCCGCTGCCGCCTCTGAGCCCGTCACTGTCGGTGCCTCGGCTCTTGATGACAGCCGTGCCTACTTCTCCAACTACGGAAAGTGCACTGACATCTTCGCCCCTGGTTTGAACATTATGTCCACTTGGATCGGCAACAAGTACGCCGTCAACACCATCTCTGGTACCTCCATGGCCTCTCCCCACATTGCTGGTCTCCTCGCCTACTACCTCTCTCTTCAGCCCGCTGAGGACTCTGAGTACGCCCTTGCTTCCATCACCCCCAAGAAGCTCAAGGAGAACCTTATCTCCGTCGCCACTGAGGATGCTCTCTCCGACATTCCCTCCGACACCCCCAACCTGCTCGCCTGGAACGGTGGTGGCTGCAGCGACTACAAGAAGATTGTCGAGGCTGGTAGCTACAAGGTCAAGGCTGCTCCCTCTTCTCGCGTCGAGGAGATTAAGCACGCTGTCGAGCAGGAGGTCAACCTCGTCTCTGGCAAGCTGACCACCGGTGCCAAGGATCTTGGCTCCAAGGCCGAGAAGTTCTCCAAGAAGATCCACGAGCTCGTCGATGAGGAGCTTGAGGAGTTCCTCAAGGAGCTCAACCTGTAAGATCTATAATCTTATCACTGGGTGCATTGGGTACACATTATGTTGGGATTACGGATTGTTACGGGTCTTTTTGGTTTGGGTTACATGACATTGATAGGGGCGCTTGCTCTTCTTGATGACCAGTTGTCATCACATTGTGCGCTTGAATGCATGGGTTAGTCCATGGGGCAGGCTAGATTTAGGCTTGCTTATTACAATACATTTCCTTATTACAAGATCAATCTTATCCATCGTGATGTCTGGTTTCTGTGCTGTGATGTTCATGTGAATGTTGTGTTTCTATCTGACGGGGCACCTGAGGGTAGGTGCCTTGGTGGAGGCGCTTATGCCGGAGGTACGTTCTTTCGCTGTTGCTTACCTGCGAATAGTTCCTTCTATCTTGGAACGATTCAACAGCGCTCCCGTTCCTTCCTCATATTTATCTCAAGTGTGTTGAGTCATTCTTGCCATGCCTGCCTTTCGTTCAACTCATTTGGTGCCATCACCAACAAGGCATCACTCTATTCTTCATATTGTTGTTTTCGAGTCTACGATCAGCCTTCATTTATACCCAACTTTTATTTGCAGTTGCAAATCCGAACATTTATGAGAAATGCTGCGACGCAACAGTTCTCGAAAGAAGAATCGCCGCCCATTGAGTCGAAGCAAATCGACCAACTCTGTCGCCCGCAGTCCCATCCGCGATCTTGAATCCATCAACCCTGCCAGGGCTGAACGAGATGCCAACATTGCTGCTGTAATTTCGTATCAGCGAGCTCAAGATAGAGACAGTAGCGAGGGAATGCTACTCCCACGGGACCCTGCGAGCTTCTACCCCGATAGGAGTGATGGCACTGGCAGCGTCATCAGACACAGTCTGGAGCGGACTGACAGTGCTCTGAGCGGTCATGGCAGTTCAAACATTGCTCGACAGAAAAGCGTTCGCTTTACCGGGCCGTTAGCTCACCCACGCAGAAATTTTGCATCCAGAGCGAATGGTGGAAGAGATTCTCCGACAAAAGCAACTTCCGCGATCCATGCTTTCGGGAATGCAAACGCCAGACCCTCATCCACGCTGTCGTTCCATAACGAACGACCAGATAAGTTCTCCCTTACCCGGCGTTACCTAGAGACGCTGCAGCCACCCGACTCGTGTTACCACCCAGAAGAAGATGCTGCTTCGATGGCTACATCCTACAAAAAGGTTAGGAAGTCCCGGTCAATGGTGACTTCCTCGCATGCAGAGACAGGGACAATTTGTAGCAAGACCTGGTCTGCAAGGACTCGCCAGCCACCTACAGTTCCTCAACGCCTGCTTACGAATAGCGAAAACGAACAGCTAAAGGCTGCAATGGCCCCCAATGCCAGTCTCAGAGCTTCTACATCAATGAGCTTCCTCAAAACACGGCGACGGCTGGCGGCATCACGCTCAAGTAGTCGTGCTGAGGATCATGATCTAGCAGTTCAACTTGCTAGAGAGAGGTTTCGACAGATACAAGAACAAGATGCGAAAAAGGCTCAATCGTCTTCTTTGCTACGTCCAAAGCACACACAAAGCGAGGGCTCTCCCTTCCGAAAGTCGATGCGCGATACCAGCAACAACACGACAGTCTCGGCCCTTTCTACGATCTCCGCTTCAAAGCAGAGAGGCATCCGAAAAACGGCGCGCAAGGTATCTCATGGGCTCAGATCACGACTGCGAGGGCTGTTTGGCAGAGGAAAGAGTTCCGAGGACTCAGACCAGCATGAACACGAACAAGTCGCGGTGGAGAAGGATTCAGATGCAGAGAGTTGCTTGCAGATTGGGGATGTCGAGTCGACCGAAGAAGCCTCTATGTTTCAGGTTACATCGCATGTGCCTTCTCTCCACGACGTACCGTCCAACCAGCAGCTCAGGTCTCGCAAGGGTAGCGTTGAAAGCTTTGGAGATGGCGACCAGCATATTCCTGATGACAAGTCTCGTGTCACCAGCTGGACGAACTCGATGACAAATACAGTGACAAGCCATGGGACTTTTGGAGACTGGGAGAGGCAGCGCCTCTCTGTGATTAAAGAGAACGGCACGCATATTCCTTCGTCAGCTCGATCGATTGAATATCTGGAGCAGCAAACTAGAGACATGATTGCAGACATGTCGGTTGACAGCGAACGTGTCTACTCAGCTCTTATGGAGCGACTCGCACGCAAGGAGCCGACGGATAGGGTCTCGCAGTCTCAACCGGGCTCGGTCAAGTCCAGAGGAACGAACACTAGAGACAGCGACGGTCAATCCATCAACAGACAATGGGATTGCTCCACAATTCGGTGCGTTCGGCCTGATGATAACATTTTCACGGATAATAGAGACCATTCCTCTCGAAGTTCAAGCTCAGCCACCGAGGTCCCCGAGCACGAGAACAAGCACCAGTCCCAAGCCGACCACACATCTACAGCCGAACACATGGCTGCATTAGATTGGAGCGACGATAGGACTCACTCCGAAAGCGAGCATACTAGTGTTCTACTCCAGGGCATGGAACCACAAAGGACGATCACGCAGAGGAGCTCTGCATTTTTCGCAAGTCCTTCTTGTCAATCGTTCCGTTCCCCAAGTCCTTATCGCCGCGCTCTCAGAGCAAGTCAAATGAACTCTGAAGACGAACAAGACGCTTTTCAGGGATCACGGTATCTACATTCGCTATCGACCTTGTGCCTTCCAACCCGTCAGGACAGCAGCCCGTCTTCCGGGAAGGACTTGCAGGTGGGAGATGCGGAAAGTGTTTACTCTTGTGCGGGCGATGATGCAAACCTGGTGCATGCAGCTTCGGAGAACACCGCGACACAGAATGAGACCTGTATCTACAATGATCCCGTACCACCACCAGAGATTCCGGCCCGACTGTCGTACCGCCAACACCAACGAGATACATCCACAGCGAGTTCTGTAGAATGGAAGACCTGGCTTAGCTCAAAAGTGTCGCAGCTCGAAGCACCTCTGACACCAACCAAGCGAGAGAAATGGAGCGACGTATTTCCAACACTGGGCCATGTTAGAGAAAACGCTTCTATAGGTTCAACACCTGAGCATTTCACACCTACGAAGGATGGGGTAACGAATCGCAGCCCTCTGAGCAACGTCAAGGCCAATGCGCAACCCTTTCAAGGTGGAGGCAGTCCGACAAGATCAACGCGTCAAGTCCTGATAGGATACGACGAGAATACAGCACCGAGTTCCAAAGCCAATACTTACACCAAGGAACGGCCCCCATCTATACCGCCCAGGAGCACGTTGCGAGCGGTGCCATCTCTTCCAAGTGTCGGCTCGAGAGGATACAATCCAGACACAGGTTTGGTGAAGGAGATGCCGCGTATGCGATCACTAAATACAATAGGACGTCTCAGTTCGACACCGGAGGAATCCATCAATAAGAGACGGTCCCGGACACGCGTCACTGGTTGGCAAGGTTCACCAACCAAGTCAAGCCCTGGGGTTCGTACCCAACCTCCTAGAACCGGATCACCTGCTCTTCGAGGAGGCTTTGGCCTGAAGTATCCGATCAGATCTCAGAGAGAAGAGAGACAGCCAGGAGACAAAATGAGGGATCGAGAGTCTGATGCTCAAGCGATGGGTAGTAAGACGATGGTAGACCTGTTTTTGAGTAGCCGGCGGAACCAAGGAGATGGTAGAAGTAGTGGATTTGGAAGTTCACCAGCGGCGTTTCTTTAAATGCCATATGTGTGAGTCGTTGAAGTAACCCGGTACGAGAAGAGTAATGTTTAGTGAAGGAGTGGACAGTTATGCTGCAGCAGGTCATTAATACTCTTGTATATATCTTAGCTGAGGAGTCATTGACCGCAGGTTCTTTTTCCGTATCAAGACATGCCTTTAAACGCAAGCTTATTGATGCGATATTGCAACGAAATCCCACAATAGTACCTCACTAACTGAGGACGGATGCTTGCGTCACGCCGTCAATTGAGGTATCGCCAATGCATCTGACGTGAGTCTTGGATGGGAATGAAACAGAACGTGTATTATTACTATTGGATCTACTTATCCTGATCGAGCGGACACACATGAACCTCCCAATACTTGGCATACTCCTTAGGAAAAGTCTTCTCCCTCTCCTTACTAACCCACTCCCCATACTTCTCATGCGTAACCGCCTCATCCAGCACCCCATTCTCCTTGTTGGTCTTTGTAAATTCCAAGAAGTCCATCGTGACTTTGACATACTCCCCCAACGCCTTCTTCACATCTGCCGTAGCGCCAGTCGCAAAGTTGAGCAGCAACGGCTGTAGAAGGGGTGCATCGGTCACACTGGGATGCGCTGTTCCAATGCTGGTGAGAAACCATGCTGAACCGACTTTGTCGCGCACGCTGCGGACGAGGTCGAGAACTGTGTCGAAGTGAGGACGGCCGAAGAAGATGCTGTGTGACTTGGACCAGGAGTTGGAGTGCACGACGAGGAGAGGCACGGGAACGTTGGTGTTGAGTTGACCGCTGGATTTACCGGGGTCGAGAGCGATGCCACCAATGGCGGGATTTGCAGCGGTGGTGTTTGCTGTTTTGAGGGCTTGAAGAGCACCTGTTGCGCCGTAGGAATGGCCGTTGATGGTGAGGTGCTTAAAGTCAAGCCGATCTTTCCACCCATCCAATGTGCTGCCTTCTCCTCGAGAGCTCGAGGCGAAGATATCCTTGCCCTTGCCGTCGTTGACATCCTTCAGGACTCGAATAGCCTGCATGATCTCCTCCGTGCGTAACGCAAGCTGCTCTTTTTTGAGCAACGTATCGTTCATGGGCGGTTCTGAGATGAGGTCGCTCTCCTTCAAGAGAAACACAGGTCTGTCCTTCTTATTCTTGATCTGGACCATACTACCGGGACAACTCCCATCGCGATGTTCAAGAGCAGCGATAACGTGGCCACGACTGGCGAGTTCACCGAGATAGTGCGTGTAATCCGTTCTCGAACTCACAGACCCGTGCGAAAACACCATGACTGGAAACTTTTCTCCGTCAGATCCTAACAGTGGAACGTCGACTTTGGCGGGGATCTTGATGCTGCCCACGAGAACCCATAGCGCAAATGTGAAGATGGGTCGGATGATGAAGTTATTCACTCCCGCTGCGCGCGCATATCCCTCCGCTGTAAGACTCAGCGGTTTCGGCACCCAAGGATGCAGCGCACCCTTTGACCTCGCGCCCTTAACAGCAGGATAATACACCGTAAACAACACACTCTCCACTTCGAACGCTGGCTTCTTCGTACTCTTAAGTAGCGTCTCAGACAGGCGCTTCGGTTTCTCCAGCGGAATCTCCAGATCAACGGCCCCTACGTCATGCGGGCCCGAATAAGCCGGTAATCGCGACGAGAAGAACGGCTGCCATGTTACAAAGCAGTAGAGCACGTAAACGCCGATGACAGAACACGCGACATATCGCCATGTTAGTCTCGGACGGAGAATGTGTTTGAGGTATTGGGTGAAGGGTTGGAGAGAGGTTGTGATGCGTGTGAAGATGCTGGATGGTCGGGGATCGAGCCAGCGCGGTTTAGGCGTGGGGGGATCCATGGTTAGCGGGAGATCCGGGTCGGAGGAGTCGGAGTCGGAGTCGGAGAAGGGGGAGTTGAGGCGGTTGAGTTCGAGGTCGATTGAGTTTTGAGACTGTGGCATTTCTTGGAGGAGGAGGAGGAGGAGGAGGAGCAGGAGGGCATGAATGGGGAGGTTAGTGAGGTGAAGTGAAGTGAAGTGAAGTGATGCGTTGAGTGTTTCTTGTTAGTGAGTGATGAGAGTGGCGATGACGCAAGCGGGTCTGGTCGCATTCGGCATTTATCGATTGGAGAGGATTATTCATCAACGATGGAGACATTGAACTTTATAAAATATACTGACATCCAGAACATGGTTAGCTACGATGGTTTATATGATATTTAGTGATGGGAAATGGCTCTGTATTACACCGTTGCGCACTCATGGTGAAAAAAGATTACAAAACACAGTGTCGAGTACAGTGCATTCAGACGCCAATGACTGTATCACGACTGAGCTGATCAATCAGTAAACAGAATGGTGAAAAGAAAACATGACACCCAGCTGAGATAAATACACACAATAGACGATGATCCAAGTCAGATAGTGGAAATAATAGTTCTGAGGCTGTTACATGATAAATAGCCTTGCTTCTTTGCCTGGCTGTTCTTATTTAACCGACTCACATAACTTACACGCACACACAGCAACGCTTCCGCAATGGGTTTTCAAACGAGATACAATTGATATAGTGGGATGATATAGTGAAGTAGTGATTGTCGAAGAGGCCACGCAGTCTGTTTTCCCGGCCATGTGACATGGCAGTCTCATATGAGCGGAGTTAAACAACACCATCAGAGATACGAAATCGTACTTCATGTATTGAAGCGATGCCTTTCGCAAGATCCAACTGTCATTAGAGTTAGAAACCGACCAGACAGTGAGAGAGCTGAGTAAACATGGCCGACCAGGTGGCTAAGAATGAAGTGATCTCGTTACTAGTTTGAAGAACCATATTGCAAGAATGGTGGCCGAAGAGAATTCTTGAAATACGCTCAAAGTATCGGCTACCATTGAGTTACCGATTGAGCCAAACGGTGTAGGAAATGCGTCCTAGCCCTCCCAGCCATATCAACCTGGAAACGCAGACTGGAGCCGGACTACTATAAAAGATTAGTACGTACATAATGTATGCAAGTCTTGTTGTATCTTGAACACCCCTTCAAACTTCTATTGGCTAGACAATCGTGAGGTATGCGGGGACTATGCCCGCAGAAACCCCAAGATAGTCCTCATGCCGATGACACGGTGATGCTGTAGCAGGTGTGTTTGACGTATTCGGAATTCAAATATTTCATCTCACCAAGAACGGGGAATCAAAAGTGAGGCCGCAGTTGCCGGGAACAGCACGGCCACTTCATCAAGGGTGGCTCGTAAATACCTCGTTTAGCTATCACATAAAGTTCACGAGACCCTGTCGACGATCAAAACTTCCAATTATACACCGCCACGCATAGGCATGTGAGAAAGTTAAGTCTACTATGTCGATCAAAACACCCGCGTTATTCGCGTCAAACAAACGGGCGCGTACAGCACATATCGTACCATCGCGAATGGTGATGATGCACATAGCTTGTAGTAGTATCACCTGTCACTTTCTGGTCCCCTCGATTGATAAACTCAAAAATAATCTCTGCCCTGTAGCATATGAAAGACGTTGGATTAATCTGGGGCTGATCTGCAAAGGCTGGATGATATGATATGACCCTACGGATACCCAATATGGATAATATATTACCATCTCCACCAGGCCTCGGCTTATTTTACCAGTTCTCGGGATAAGGCATCGACGATCGACAAGAGACTCTCGCACTCTATCGCGTGCCAAGAAATTACGTACTCCAGATCGGGTGCGACGTAGCTGAACTCTCTGAGCGATCATATATGTACCCCGTCACTTGGATCATATGCAACCTGAGCTGAACGACATGCGACAATAGTAACCTTTATTACAAGAATTGGAAAGAAAGGTGTGAGGTATATTTGGAGACGAGAAAGAAAAGAAAAGAAAAGAAAAAAATGTATCATGCTCATCATTACGCTATGCCATCCGTGGTATTCCGTCGTCATTCTAATTTCCAATCCTTGGTATCAAAGCCCTCCCCAAATTAATCCCGCCGATCCGATCTCAGCCCCTCCCGTCAGCCTACACCTCCATATTTCGTACCCGTTCAGCCGTTTCACTGGAACACAAACTGAGACACCCAGTCAGCATCAATCTCGAATCCCCTGTATCGTTCATTATTACTTTGCTTTTCTCAGGCCGGACACTTGAGGGGTGCTGCTTCTTCTGCTTTCGAATCCAGTGCTGTCGTAGTAGTTTCAGGATATTTGCTGCAATGTTTATGGTCATCAAGTAGAGCCTGTATCTCTTGAATTTCGCATTTCAAGGAGCTGATCTTTGACTTGAGGGCCGCGTTCTCGGTCTTGTAGTCTTGGCCACGGGCCATTGATGTCGCGTGATCTGCTTCAAGGGCCATATTTACGGAGTATAGATTTTGATGATGATGGTCGGAAGAGGGATATGGAAACAGGAAACATCTCCACGTTTGAAAAAGAAACGACATGGGCGATTAGATATATACATGTGTCAGTACCGAATTGTCTAGGTACTCATCAACGATCCCATCCTGGGCTAGCAGAAAAGAACGCAGTCTAGAAGCCCATTTCGGCCGAGTGGCTCACCGAAAGACTCGCATAAGCATGGTGTCATAAACACTTCATCGACCCCGTTTTCTAGTGTCAAAGCCAGACTAGGCGTGTCAGCTGGACCCTGTCATTGGCGTGTGCCCATTTAATCCCAAGGGTTTCAATTTTAGGTTGAGGGCTATTTCATCTGCCGAGTCAGGCATTTAGGAATCAGATTTCCAGCGTGGTGCAGGCTTGGTACTTTTTGAGCCTATAGATCGACGATCCTGAAATCTGGCGTTTCACATCCATCCAACCCTTCTAAAGAGAAATGTCGCGCCGCTGGCCATCGCCGTGGCACCGGTAAACACAATCAGCGTGCCATAGCCCGTTCCGTATCCACCTGCGGCTTGGCCCTGCCATGGCATTCCCTTTATTAACGCGCCACTTAGCGGGCCGGACGCTATGTTTCCTATTCCTCGTCCTGCCGAGAGGACGCCTAGTACCATGGCGGGATCAAATGATGTTCCGCTGGTGCGGGTGTTGGAGGGTGTTGATGATACCATTTGCATGATTCCCGTCCAGGCTGATGTGTACGAACCCGCAAAGATGCCGTAGAAGATGCAGAACACATACAAGATGGGCAGGCTTGTTGAGAAGCCCCAGAGTAGAAATGTGCTCAGTGTTGTGCCGGCTGCTGAAATCATGAAGCAGTCTGTGACGTGAAGTCGGTCTGTGAGTGCTCCCATGGCGACGCAGCCAAAGACTGAAGCGACATTGACGAGTAGGACCGTAAGAGCAGACGCAAAGGATCCAGCTCCAAGGGCAGTCCTGGCATACGACGGGAGATAAATCCCAGGCAAGAAGAAGCCCAGCGCTTGAGCAATGTTAGCAAGTTGATGAAGCAAAAAGTTGCGTCTCAACGCAAAGCCCAACTTCAACGGGTTAATATGCTTCGTCGCAGAGTACGGCAACCGCGGCTTGATAAAATAGGCCAACGGCAACGTCAACAAGAACAAAGAAACCGCCCAAATTCTCAACGTAGTACGAAACCCGTATTCATGCAGAAACTTCTCAAAAAGAAGCGGCAGCGCGAAGCCCGCGAGGCCAGTCCCAGACCACATGATCCCAAACGCAAAACCCTTACGCTTGGCGAACCATTCGTCCATGTAAAGGATACAAGGACAGTACGAGATGGAACCGCCGATGGCGTAAAGGACGCCTTGTGTGAGGATGAGATGAGTTGTGTTTTGGGAGAATGAGCTGAGAGCCAGGGCGATGCACATTATGAAGAGGCCGATCATCGGAGACCAGCGGCTTTGTCTTGGGTAGAGACGTTGAAGGCTCATTGTGAAGGGGAGGCCGAGATACATGATGCCCTGTGGATGTGAGCAGAGAGTGATAGACAGGAGGTGATAGGGCATACCATTGCACAAGTACCGATGACGGCGATGGCTGATGAGCCTTCGAAGGGGGCATTGGTACTGTAGTAATCCTGGAACACACCAAACGCGAACGGGAAGCCTGTACAGTCAGTCAGTGAACGATTACAGCAGGTTCAGATGAGACTTACCCCATGTAAGAGCCTCAACCATAAAAGAAGCCGCCAAGAACAACCACGCATCCTTCCCGCCATCTACCGGCGGAAGAGAAGAAACTTCATTCTCGTGAGTGCTCGTGAGGTCTAAAGCTGAACAAGCAAAACCCTCTTCACGACCGGGGTCTTGACGCAACTCGACTGAAGTTTGGCTCATGGCTGCTATAATTCTAATTGTTTGGGCTTTGATATTCCGGGATTGAATTTTCTTATAGAGGTGAGGATTAGGTTGGCCGATGATCGGCGCGCCCTTGATCTGACATTGACATCGGGTGGCTTGCGGAGTGGAGCTGGGGCGTGGACTGCAACTTGGAGAGTTAATTGTAGTATCCAAGAAGATTTCTTTCATGATTTAGTTGAGGAGACGGTGTGATGAGTCTATATTCAATTCTTTGTGTCTCTGGCTGATCTGTAAAGAGTCCTTTTTGTAAGAGTCTCGGAACTTGTTTTGTGAAGGAGATCTTGATGGTGCAGGAGGAATTAACTATTGAGAGAAATATGTAGCCCAATCTGTGATATTTAGATGTTATAAAGTACAATTAGCTATAATGATAACATCAGTATTGTCTCTTACTGAAGCGTTAGGTTGCCTTATCAGGGGCTCAGATGAATGGGCTGGCGTTGGGAAGGGTAGGACGGGGAGTTGAGACTTTTATTATGGTTGGTTATGAAAGACCTTTGTATCATCTTAGAGTATGTATATTAAAGTAATTTATGTTAACATGTGTTAACTTATGATAAACTCAGTATACTTCTTTACAGTCTTGGTTAAGCCTTTTCATGATCGGAAGTCGGTCATCGTCATCTCCACCACAAGCTTCTCCCCCAAACCCGAGATCCGAAAACCGGAGTCTCAATTTTATTCGCTCTTCCACTTCTCCAAAGCCGACAACCCGTCCATTCCCGCCATATCCAGAACCATGCGATCCAGTCTATCCTGCGAGCATTGCCGGTAAGATCCCTGTAGTCCCTTTACTTGCGACCTTTGAACTGCATGGCTAATTGAGCTCTGTGAAGAAAAGCAAAGGTCAAGTGCGTCCATACCGGAAGTGCACCCTGCCAACGCTGCCAACGCCTCGGGACGTCGGGCTGCGAAATCACAAGACCGGTTGTCAGATCCGCCAAGAAAGCTGTGAGGAGAGCGCAAAACGAAGCGGGTTTGACGCCGAGGGATGATGTATCGGTGATTTCGAGCACAGCGGGCTTTCAGCCTATACCAAGTCCTGTCTCGTCAAGACAGACAACTTCATATCATACGCCTGAGACTGTAGATGAGCATCTCGCCCGCTTACCGATTGGGATTATTCTCAAGGCTCTGAACATCTTCACTGCCAAGTTTCCTGAGCTGAGGATACTGCAGGCATCTGCTTTCATCAAGGAGTATCAAACTGCTCGGTCCAAGGAGAGCAAGGCTTTGCTAGCGACGATACTCGCTATCACAAGGAAGCAATGCTCCATTGTCACGGGAGATTGGTTGAGGAGCCTGAAGAGTAGCGAGTGCTATGCTTCGTATGCCTGGAGTACTTTGTCTGATGCTATTCTTCAACCACCAAAGGTTCAAGTTGTCCAGGCGTTGCTTATCTTGACGCTTTATGAATGGGGTGTGAGAGAGTATCACAAAGCTTGGATGCACTGCGGTAAGTTCATACTACTACTACTCACAAGACTGTTCTGAAATCGAAAAGGAATTGCCATACGCATCATGCAGTCACTTCATAGCTCTCGTGTCAGCCCTCACCCCCTCGACATGTCTCAGAACAACGACACAGACGTTATGGCTATTGCAGTAGAAGCTCGAACATATTGGGCGTGCTTCATAATGGACTGTACCATCAATTCAGGAACCTACAACCCGCGTATGCTCCCAATGTCCGAAATGCACAAGCTCAAAGTCCCTCGTCCACTGAACTACACCGACTTTGCATTCGGTTTTGACGCATCTTCGCTCGATCATATTTGCACTGGTGATTTATCTGGATTGGCACAAAGCTTTGAGACCATCGCGACTGGTTTTGACATTTATGCTCAAGCAATGTCATTTGTCTTTAATAACGGGCGCTGTGCACCGGGTATGTGTGCGCCTGAGAACTGTCCGTGGGTTCCCGGGTCCGCTTGGTCTCAGTGTCGGAATAGACTTGAAGAGTGGAGGAAGAATCAGCATGAGAGGCTTTGCTATCCGCAGCATAGTGTTGTGGTGCATATGACGCTGGGACATGGGGAGTCGTTCATTTACTTGAACATGCTGTACTACTTGAGGTGAGAGCCAGAAATTGGTAGTTGGTGGGAGACTATGTTAACTTTCATTTAGTACGATCATGCTTCATAGAGAATACTTCCCCTTCTTGCCGACCGCCGACTTGACACCTCGAGGTCCAATAGACCCTCCTCTTCTGGAAGCAGAGGCACCGCCAGGTTGGTGGGACCAAAGCGCAAGGGAGCTCTTCAATGCAGCCGAGCAGATCGCATCTCTCCTCCAAGAAGCATCTGAGTGCGGGATTCCACTAATCACGCCCTTCTCTGGCTTCTGTGCCTTCACAGCATGCTTTCTCAACCTCTACGTATTTCGATTTCCCAGGATGAATCTCAATCGAAGCTCCAAAGCCGAACAGCTTATGAATTGGGGACTAGAGTATTTAGAAGAATTCCAGAACGCTTGGGAACTAGCAGGAGGCTGGGTATGTCTCACTCCCCTCATCCATGAGTCTAAAGCTAACAAAATAGATCAAAACGATTCAGAACTCCTCACTCTTGTACAAAAGAGCAACCGAAGACGCAGGACGCTACCGCGGAAGATCAAGAGCCGATTTCGAAACCCTGCACCAATCGATTCATGAATATCGAATTGTTGATAGGTCGGATCAGCACTTGCAGCAGATCAGCCATGCAGACCGAAACTCGGCAAGGCGTGAGGAAGAAGCTGTGCCGAGTCAAGTTCAGGTGGCTAGTAATATGGGAGCGGCAGTTAATGCTTCGGTGCCGGATCCGTTTCCGAATTGGTGGTCTATGTTGCAGGAGGTGGAGTTTACGGATGTTGGCAATTTGTGGAATGGGATGCGTGAGTTATGATCCGGGGAAGGGCAACAAGGCAGTTGAGAGTATGGAGAGACTATCTTGGTATGGAGGTCGTGTAGTAAGTTTAGGGCTTCCTTTTTCTATAGGTTAATTATAGCATATTTACAGTAGATTAGTCAAGTGCAATTATACTACTAGCTTACCGAGTAGCCAGGTCGAATACCACCGTCTTAAGTCTGCATAAGACGGAATAAAGCAACATAACCCCGCTCAGTCTCCCGCTACTTTAACCAAAGACAGGTGTGATAAATATAGACTGGAAGCTAAGAAAAGCGCAGCTTCCAACCTTTTGCAAGACTTAATTCCAACCAAGACACGCTTCCACCACTATCTTTCAAGGCCCAGATCTCTTGTAGTAGCTGAATGGACCAAACTTGAACTGGAACCCGATTGATGGAGTACAGCATCCTGAACTGCGAGATGGATTTACTCCTCCAATCGTTCTCATTGGAAGTGAGCTCAGCTGCAGCACTGAGCAGAGGTAGAGACTGGAAGTTGGCGCAAGGCTTGGTGAGTGGGATCTCTAGCAGGTTTTCTATCGCTTCTAGAGCAAGAAATAAGATATTCGGTAGCCACTCCCTTTGTTTCTGATTGGATTCATGCTCACTTTGAGCAGTCGGCGGTGAAAGTGGCATGAGCTTTTCTGATTGGAGATGTGTTTGGCGGCGCGTTTGGTATAGCATCAGCAACCCATGGTTCCGATAGGCATTGCTGAGGTTCTGGATATGCTTGCCCCCGCGGTTCGATGACCATACTAGAAGTCTTTGCTCAATCTTGTCATCAAATTTGGAATCTACCAGCCCGTGCCCAAGTATGGCAGAAGGGGTAGGGCTAGTGGATTATGGTTGCGGTCGACGCACAGCATTTGGCTACCCTGCTCGACCCAATGTTGAACCAACCTCTTATTAGGAAGACCATCACCAGGCCACGAATCGAAAACAGTCATGTTGGATAGCCAGGGCATTTCGATCTGCCATTGCGCTGGGCGGGTACTGGCCATACAGACGGAGCCACGACGTTGGCACCGGCGACACACGGGAAAGGCCTCATCACATTTGACACGCTTGACTCGGCATTCCAGGCACCCATGGTGGCTGTTGGTGCGCTGAGCTTTAGGGGCCTTTGCGGAGAGGAGAAGTGGTGGAGATGGTTGAGGAAGGGGATGGCGAGGGATCTTGGGCGTCAATGGCATTTTGGTATTTGTTGCCAGTCGCGAATCGTACCTTGTAAGAAGGCATGTTTGATGTGCTCGTGACGTACGTCAGGGGATCTTCCGCATACTATACATTGACAACGTCCGGCAGTTACTCCCTCTAGCACAGAGCTTTTTTTTGCAATCGCTACATCATGATAAAACACACGTCACTAAACTTTAAATTGACTGTATCGTAGGCTTGCTACTCATATAAATGAGACTTATAACCCCTGTTTTGCGTAGCCAGGGCTATGTTCACGGCGGATATCCATTTGAGAACCAACTTGCGACTTATTTTGCTGGGGGAATGTGATGTATATTAGTAATACCGTGAATGCAGACAAGGCAAGGTTGTCGTTCTGACCCCACAACCTCGCGAAATGGCCCAGATAGGAAACTTTTGTTATGTAGATCTCTTCCTATGCGCGTACAAGACAACGATCGAAAGCCTCTGAGTCAGATTTTGTCGGATCTTGTTCAATCTCCTCAGGTTAGTACTGCGGAAACCCTTTATTGCAGTCAGATCTATAAGCTGCGGTCAGAGTTTGTATTGCGGACTAGGGATCTCAAACTTTTCACAAAGTGGGATACTCAAAGTGGGATACTGTTAGTCTCTTAGAGTTGGAGCCAAGAGGTTTTCTGCCAGGAGTTTCTGAAGGGTATATATTCAGACATTAGGAGCATGATTTCTTAATATAAGATCAAACCAGTCATTCCTATCCTCACCACCGTTTACACAAATCGAACTATACTAGCGTTCCCCGATATATCTCGTCTTTCCAGTCATGTCTTTCAACCGCATTGCTGTCTATGGCCATCGCGGCTTCGTTGCCTCCCGAGTTGTCCCTGCTCTGATTGCTTCAGGAGCGCCAATTACTGTTTTGCATACATCGCTCTACTTCGGATACTTCCAATCTCCCTGAGCACGTGAAAAAGATCCAAGTCGACGTTCTTGACCAAGACGCTTTGGTTGCTGCCTTGCAAGACATCGATATTGTTCTGTTAGTCGCATTTACTATACATCTGTGCCTTTTAAAATCACGGCTAATAGACTTGACAGTTCTCTTGTTGGAGACGAGGGTACCGACAGACAGTATGGCTTTGTGAAAGCCATCCCCTGGACCAATGTCAAGCTTTTCGTCCCGTCGGACTTTTGTCTGCGATATTGTGAGCAGGGGATGCGTATGCCCTGTATGAAGGCAAAAGCAAACGTCGAAAAGGCTTCCAAGGATGCTGGAATTCCAACCTCGGTCGTCCACATGGGAAACTCTGCTGAATTCACCTTGAACACACTGTTAGTCGTCGAAATATTACTGTCGAGATTTTTCTGTGACTGACTCTGGCAAACTTTAGGGCGGTGGGCATTGACTTGCAAAACAACGTATTGGTCTATACTGGCAACTCTGCCAATGAAAGAGTTACTATGTGGTGCGTATCACTTTACTAATGCTTTTGTTATGGTGAAACTGATTCCTTGTAGTACAATGCGTTACGTAGCAGCTGCATACGTCAACATATTCACCACCAGACCCATTCACACTATCCAGAACCGGACCTTCACTTTGTCAGAGCTTGCACCGACAGGCATGGAGATAGCCGCGGTTATGAAAGAGAAGAACGGCAGAGAGCCTTCTATTTCTACACGAAGCCTAGATGAGATCAACCAGACAATCGAGGGTCATATCAGCAACGAGAGTAATCTGGCTGTCCCGTCGTATTGCCGCAAGATGTGGGGAACCGGCGAAATGATGAAGATGCTTCCCGATGATTTGTGGCAAGTCAAGGACTACAAGAAAGCAACTCTACAGGATCTTGTCCTTCGGGGGGAATTGGAAAGCTACAGAGCGCTGCCTGATCAGGTATTGGAATTGCTTAGAAGGATTCTCTGAAGGCGCAGCAACCTAAGGCTCTATATCAAGGTACCCGAAAAAGAGAGCGGAGCCGGAACTTTGCAGTCGGTGGTGGGTTAAATTTTAGTTGCAGATTGGGAAGTTCTGAATCCAAGGGGCGATATCGTACGAGGGCACCGAGTCATGGCAGTATAAGAAGCCTTGTATAACAACACGGGCCAGCAGAACTATAATATTTTAGATTTGTGACATGGCGAGTTTTAAATGAGACATATTGCAGTGGCATTGAATTTAGAAGCTGGTAAAAAAGTGCATAATATGGCCAAGACATCTTAATGCTATGTCGAGAAATACGCAACGATCACCCCGAACAGAAATATGCCGAAGTTTTATAACCCGTTTCAATAGCTCAACGGAGATTTAACTCGTCCTGAGATTGGGTTCATGCGGATGATAAAGCGTTACATGGAGATCCTGCTAACCTCCGGGCTATTACCAAGGTTCAGAAGTATATCTCACCTATATCTGTGTCACGATGACCCATGCTACCCCCAAGTAAGCTTCACCATCGCTTAAAACATTATTGTAACGGTCTCCTTCCTATTGTGTTTTGCCGTTAGACATGGGATCCTTCAACGGCCACCAGTTTAGTTACACTGGACTCGGAGACTAGGGTTAGCTTGATTCAAGTGATGACTGTATCCTTCACTGTCCAGACTGTGCTAGATTGATATGAGTTATAGCATTGACAAGAGGATTGTACCTCGGTTATCCAAGCCGAAGATAGATCTTCAAGACCCTCGGAAATTCGGAGCCTTCCAAGTCTCCTTTTTTTCTTCTTGGTGATTGACAGGGGTTTCTGATATCTGACGAAACCTCCCGCTGGAGATACGCTAAAACCTTGACCCCTGTAGTTTGGCTCCATTCACCGGATGTCGATCATCCGGGTCTCCGCGGGTGGTTTACGAGTGCTCACCAAACCCACTCACAGTGGATAATTTGCCAAACGAATTACGCGCAATATATCCAGCACAGGTCAGCCAGTGTTCGACAAGGTTTTTTTGCATTAACGTCGGATATGGGGAAACCGGCCACCCCCAGAAACCGGCCACTTT